GGGACATCGTGAAATCTCTTCAGCGTCATTTCAGCGATCTGCGCAAATCACAGAAGCGGTCTCCGGGCTATGAGATGTACACGCGGTTCATCCCTGTCCAAACAAGTGAAAAAACCGGCAATGAAATAGGTAAATTACATCTTTTAATTCACTTTTAAATCCTTTTCAGCTATCCAACTGGTTCTATAAATTCTAAAGATGATGTTGCGTCGGTCCCAAAACAAATTAATCAAATCCGATTGATTTATAGTAAAATAGACAGACAGACAGATTAAGAGATTGGATGACTGATTGATTGGACGAGATTGATTTACAGCTATAAAATCTCAATAACAGACAATACGCACTGCTACTTCTGCTATAGCAAGCTTTAAAGCCTATCTGCACGTGTTTGGCCAGGAGGGATTAGACCTCCCTGCGTGGTCACTGGCAGGTTGTTTTCTCACCAACTCAGCTCTCAATTAACGTAAGCAAAAGGGGACCATGGGGATCAACGGTACCGCTTTGTATTGTTGGCTATATAGAGGGCGCAAGTAGCTACAAGTAGTGCAGTCCTGCTTAAAACTTTGTAATTTACGTCTTAAATCTTGATAGTGTATGGGAAATCTGATGCAGGTCAGGCTGATGACGTGTCGTGGTCTGGTGAATCACTATGGATCACATAGTTCGCGGTTCGAGCCTCGCTGCGGCACTACCGTCCTTTGGCAGATCATTTATCTACATTTGCCACTCTCCAACCTGGGCCCTGTTGCATAAAACTTACCATTGATGGTAACTTTGCCATCAATGGCAACTACCATGGTAACAGGGCTCAACAGCCAATCAAAATCAAGGTTTCCATGGTAGTTACCAATGATGGCAAAGTTACCATCAATGGTAAGTTTTGTGCAACGGGGCCCTGGTGTAATAGTACCTGGGGGTGTTTCATAAAGCTGTTCGTAAAGTTACGCATGACTTTACGAACGACTTGTATATGAAAAGCCGAATGGGATGCTCATTGATTATTGATTATTATTTATTAAGTTGAACTGTGCAGATGTAGATTAACTTTCTTATTATAACAACCATTTCTAATGCAAATAGTATTATTTGACATAATCTAATTGAGGTTATTGGAAATATCAGAAAAAACTTTGGGCATCCTATCTGTCACTTCATATACAATTGGTTCGTAAAGTCATGCTTAACTTTACGAACTCTTTATGAAACACCCCCCCCCCCCCGGTATGATTTATTTTGCCCTTGTATGCTTTTAGCGCCTTAGGGCAGCTGTGCTACAGCCATGATAATAATAGTACTTTGAAGTTGCCTTGAGCATACCGTGGGATGAATATGTGCGCAATATAATTAATGTAGCTATTAATATTGTAAGATCCTTTCATCGACGTCTTTAACTACAAAGTATCACCAGGTATCTCTCTCTCCCTTTCTCTCTCTCTCTCTCTCTCTCTCTCTCCCTCCCTTCCTCTCCTTCTCCTTCTCCCTCTTTCCTCCATCGCTATCCAGGTATGCTCCGACCCAGTAGCAGCCCCGTTCCCCGGCTGAACGTGCCCAAGGAGCCCGTCTTCAACATTAAGGAGACGCTACCAGTACCACCCCATCCATACCTGACCCCTCCTCCACCCTCCTCCGCATCGGCTCCCCCTCCCGTCGACAAGGCAGAGTCTCCTCGAGGAGCTGGAAGGGCGGTCATGGCAACGGGTATCACGAAGCGGAACGCAGTGAGCGCTACGGATGCGAGCGGTGCAACACTTGGACAAGTTGAGGTAGGTTATGCCCTGGACAATATTTGGTGATTCATCCCCTCTAGCCAGCAATATAAAAAATATACAAGAGTCACATCGTGTGCATAGCTGAAATAGTATGGTCATCTATATGTTCCTCGCAAAAGCTATGTCAACCAATATGTTAAAAATTGGCAAAGAATCTTACAGAACCTTCATCTATAGGACGGTGTACTTTACCGTAAGGACCTCACGTTGTAAGACGGTAGAGTATTGTCATTCTGTTGTCGCATTTTGATATTGCAAAGAGCAGACTGTACTTAGATTTGGAGATAGAAGTCTAATCTTTGAAACAGAAATCAGGTTGAAGTCAGATGTAAAACAATGTAATCACCAATGCTCGCATGTAATTGAATGATACTAAACTATATTTCTTCTGTTTCAATTCTTCTTTGACAGGAATGGGACGCCACTTATCGGCTGGAGAGAAAAGTCAGCGCTACTGTGAAGGGAGCCGCCTACGTTCGGAACATGAGAAACGATCAGCGAACGCGAGCATGGGTTGCGGATTTGGCATCCGACTTTGCTCCCAATAATGTCTCAGAACAATGAAAATGATTTAAGCTAACTCTAAAAACGTACGATATATCAGTGGCTTCCTCGAGGCTGGCTGGTAAATGCCATTGTTAACCGTTGCTCTAACCATGGCATAATTATGTGAACGAGCCTTTATTAGAAGTTTGGATGACTGCATGGTCTCTTTTTGTTTTTGCTGAAATACGTACACTGTAGGTGGATCTTGGGGAAGATAACAAATAAAAATGTGACCGAAAACAGTCTTCCTATGGCGAAGGAGATATGGGAAACAAGAGGTATACACGGGCTGGTAGAAATGATGTAAACAAGGTTATTTTGAAGTCCGTTTCAGCCGATTAGGAAATGATTCCATGGTTTCATACTTCTTTACTTTAAAAAACACAGCAGCATGACTGAAAAAACTACTTATTCGTGGTATGATAAGAGGTCATGACGGAAAAACAAGATGTTTTGCATCCTGCTTTGTCTTGTTGCCTCTTCTTGAACATCCTTGGAAATTTTGAAAGAAGAAGAATACAAGCCAAGTGTTTTTAGACCTATTTCTTGCTCAATCAACATGTTTTTATTTTTCCAGTTAGTGGTAGAGGCGACCATTTATGTATGCGTGTACGTGAAAATGTCATGGTCATCGTATTAGCATCTTTCCAATGTTAACTTCGTGCACTCAGTATGTTTCTATTCAGGGAAAGGGCTGACTTATTTATGATCATGCAGAAACAATTCTTGGTATTTTGAAGATTGAATCAAACGAACGACACAAACATAAAAGTCAATTGAAATACAGTAATTGAGAATCAAATATTGATCATGTTTTATATGTCGTAAACAGAACTATATATATTTATATCTATCTAATATCAAATATCACTGAAATACACAATATTTTATTTGTAAGTGTCTTGTTATCGTAAAAGTATGAAACAGAAATGAGAAAATTACAAAAATAAATGTGGATAAAAACAGACAATACACAATTTTGTTGGTGTTTCATTTGTACGACTACTATAGTGAGAGATGCAAAATGTAACGTAAGATATCAACTACAGAAAAGTACAAAAGAAAACCAAATTATAAAAAATAAAAAAAAGTTTCACATAAATCATTATTCAAGACAATGATTTTTTCTAAATCAGGTTTGCTCAAAACTGAACAAAATTGATATATCCTGGATTCCAAAACTTAAAAAAAAAAGTATTTGATTAAATAACAATACCTTCAGGCTTCAAAGGCGAAACCTTATAAAAGCTGACCAAATTACTAAAGCTCGAAGGAAAGAAATCTGCCATTGAAAGTTTAAAAGGACATGTTCAATTTACAATGAGTTAATCACAAAATAAGCAGATTTATAAATCCTGGCTGCGTCGATATGAATAGCTATACATCACTTTTATCCAACTACGGTAAGAAATTCCGTGGTTTAATAGTTTGTTTTTTTAAAAGAAGAAAAAATAACGTGAATTTATTAATATGACCAGAAAGGCCTCCGTTAATGTCAATGATTTTAGCACCAATGTGCTTAATAGTCAAAAAATCATTTTATAGTACAACGATAAAAATACGAGATTTCTATTTGATAAAACTTCGCTAGATTTGTCATAAGTTATAGGCATCATGATAGTTGTGTCTCTGATGACTAATGACATAATGAACATGAATGACAACAAACAATGAATGCCCGATTATGTTAGAAGAATACATTTTTGGAGGAAAGAGATTCTTAAAGCCTATCTGCACTAGTTTAGCCAAGAGGGATTAGACCTCCCTGCGTGGTCCCTGACAGGTGGTTATCTCATCAAATCAGCTCTCAATAAACATAAGAAGAGGGGGTCATGGGGTCCAACAGGTACCGCTTAGGCCTTGTTTGCTATATAGAGGGCGCAAGTAATGCAGTCCCGCTTTATTTTAAAGCAAAGGCAAAGAGACAGGATTTTCTGTTGTATCGGGCAACAACTATTGACAAGTATAAGAACGAGACCTTGAATGATCATCAATATTCAGTTTACGGTTATTTACTTTTGACTATGTCAGAAAGTGATAGTAATACACAACATAATTAAAAAATAGAGCAACACTCCAACATCACGTAGGGACGAAAACGCTAAAAAGAAATTACTTTTAAACGAACCTATCAATATTGTGTTATTTTCTTTCTTATCTCATGCCCGTCAACCAAGTTTCATGTTATCTTCACACTTTTTATTTCATTGTACAAGCATGAAAACGAGAATGAGCAAATTATTAAATATAATCGAGGATAATGATCTAATTCAAATACATTAAAGTCATCAATATACATGATATTATTACAGAAATGGCAAGAATTTTACGACCTTTAAATAGATTGACAAAATAATGATCTTTGCAGTGTCCATAAGTTTCCAGGGCCCCGTCTTACAAAGAGTTATGATTTATCCAAATCAATCGCAAGTCCTCCAATCAATCGCAAGTTTGCAGTCTCCTATCGCTTATGTATATACACTGTTGGTCATAATGGTGGAATAATTATTTTTACCCCAGTTTAGGGAAGGATTTTAAAAAATTATTTATTTCTAATAGATCTAGATAATGGCATACATTATCAGATTTTATTGAATATTAATTTGCGAGTGTTTGTTTTGCGTGACTGCTAAATCATATGTGTGCTACTATGCTAATCAGCTAGGGAACCTACGTCCTTAAATCATAATTGACAGTAATGAGGATTAATGCCTCACAAAAGGGCACTAATATAGCTGATCGACACGATTTTTATCCTGGGGCCCCACAGTAACGAGGCCATTGGTTAGCCCCTGAATCATGACTGTACGCAGTGTTTGCTAGGGTACGCGGCCCCTTCCACAAATCCCCCAAAACGAAGAAAATGCAATAAATTGTCAAAAATTCATTGCATTTCCCCCCGGCCCCCAACAGGAAAAATTCCTTTGTGTGGCCATGCCTTGAACCATAATGCATGGCCCTACAGAGGATTTTTTCCTGTTGGGGGCCGGGGGAAAATGCAATGAATTTTTGACAATTTATTGCATTTTCTTCGTTTTGGGGGATTTGTGGAAGGGGCCGCGTACCCTAGCAAACACTACGTACAGTCATGATTCAGGGGCTAACCAATGGCCTCGTTACTGTGAGGCCCCAGGATAAAAATCGTGTCGATCAGCTATATATTAGTGCCCTTTTGTGAGGCATTAATCCTCATTACTGTCAATTATGACTTAAGGACGTAGGTTCCTTAGCTGATTTGCATAGTAGCACACATATGATTAAGCAGTCACGCAAAACAAACACTTGCAAATTAATTTTCAATAAAATCTGAGAATGTATGCCATTATCTAGATCTATTAGAAATAAATATTTTTTTTAAATCCTTCCCTAAACTGGGGTAAAAATAATTATTCCACCATTATGACCAACAGTGTAGTTGCGATTGATATCAACTCTTTGTAAGACGGGGCCCAGAAGTCGATCAACAGTCGTGGGGATGAAATCCTCCCTATACCATGTTTATAGATGGTCAGAATGAACATGTGTTGCTCCGCGACCAATCCATGGCCCACTACTTTTACTTCACGATGGCTCCATTCCTTGCTTGAACACAGTGGCATAGAAACGTGCACGGGGGCACAGGGGCGCATCCCCAATCGAACAACAGAAAGTGGAGGAAAACGGCAAAGAAAAAACATCACTGACTTGACCAACGCTATGCCAAATAGCTGGAAATGCCACTAATCTATAATAATTTGTTGTACTTTTTCAGACAAATTGTCTACCACGATAATGTTCATGATGTTAGGCTTCACTTTCACCTCTTTTCTTGAACTGTCTCTTTTCTCTTAATCCCCATTTCACATCCATTGTTTTTGTGAAGCTTTGCAGGATTGATTTAAAATGACTTCATTTCGGCTTCCACCAATCCTTCTTGTTCCTCGCCTCGTCGTTCCGAAAATTGTGCGAATAATTGCCGAGAAATTTTCCATTCCTGCCGAGCCGGGTCGTCGGAAGGCCATCAACCTCGCTTAGCTTCACGCTTCCGAACGACTTCGACGATGGATTGGATGACGGAGTCGATGACGACGTCTTTGTCTCGGTTCCGGCGACCGGGAACCTAGGTTTAAACGATGATGTGGATATACCGAGATCGTCATCACTGAGGATTGTGGTCTTTGCTTTCTGCGTCTGGAGTTTGTCGCCGTTTGCCGTAACTTTGGTGTCGCCTGCGTCGTTATTTTTGCCGCCAGTGAATTTGAACCTTCGAGGGGCTTGGTTGGTGGCGCGTCGTTCACCCGTTTCAAGATCGAAAGTCGGGCAAAACCTCTGAGAATCCATGATTGATACGTAAAGAAGTTACAAGGACCCTTTGAGAAAAAGGCACCTACGAAATACCTTGATGATGTTCTCCTGGTCTGCCTTATGGCAACACTTGCATAATAAGCGCATGCGTTCTTCGGAGTTGTAAAACGTCGTCTCGAAACCCACTGGCGCTCTTCCAACAATGTTATCCTTCTGCAAGGCTCATCGATGTGACTGTCCTTTTGATGTCAGCTCGCGATCTACATGTCTGAATCAGTAAAACATCACAGAGATTTATATGTCCTTCTCTGGATCAACGCAACGGTGAAAAGTAATGACAGTCTTTTTCAAAGACGGTTTCTACTGTCAATCATGTACTTGCTTTCATCGCTTTTTAGATCAACTAAAAGTTGTCACAATGGACAAACAACGATTTTTGAAGAAAAAGTATCCCATTGATGAATCGAGACGAGCTCCGAGAAGACCTATAAGAAAGGAGGCAAATAACAAAAAATATAAATGTTTCTATTTTTGAAAATGTTGTTTTGATGACGTATGATATGAAGCCACCATGTGAAGTTCTCAAGAGGCATTTGAATAGGAAAAACAACTCAAATTCGTAAACACATATAGAACTGATATCCCGTCATATCACAGACACATTGTATTGTTTAAATATATATTTTTTGATTATATGTAATTAAAACGTGCCTTTTCAATTCTTATGTGAATAAGAATAGCCGAAAACTTTTCTCAAACATAACTAAACTTGCCGATACGAAGGAACCGCCTTTGAATGTTTGTAAAAGTATGTCCCCATATTGGGGACATTCTTTTACAAACATTTTACAAACATTCAAATCATCATCATCAAGAATCTTAAAATGATTCATTTCGGACAACGACAAAAATCCAAATTCTTTCAATTATACGTTTAGACAGAATTTCCACCCAACGCTATAGAAATCTTCAGGCGGCAGACACTTGACATTAACTTGTCCATGCGGCCATGAAGACTGAAATAGTTACTTGCGAATCAAAAAATGAAGCCACTTTCACGAATACTTAAATGCGGCTTCAAAAACCTAAAAAGTGTGCTCGTGGCAGTAGTTTGTGGTTTCGGCGTCATTTTTTGTGTGGCTAAAAGCTAAAAGCAGAATATTTAATCACTTTAGTTTTGATCACGGTTGTATGCAGTATGAATGAAGCAAATTTGTGTTTACTTCCTCGGCATTATACCTCTTTCACGATTAACATCATTTGTTTAATCAAAAGATCGAATCATCTACATGAATGTGAAGTATTATATCTGATATATATTATGGCCATTTGATGTGATTGTACTAATTTAGATAATCAAAATCCTTGACTTTACTATCTGTATTCCTTTGTTACAATAAATCAATAAATACGTTTCTGTAGTCATGCAAAGCGCAAAAAAGACAAAAAAATATTATGCGTTATAAAAGCGCAGTTTATGATTACAATTTTCATTCGCATTTACTATTATGACGTATGTTGAGTGTCAGGAAGGTGTTAACCCATTCTATAACACAGTCCTTTCTGGTTGCCAATAGACAATAGAGGCGCCGCGGTGGGAGAGCTACATGTACTACGGAGGGGGAGTGGAGGCTTGGGCATTTTGTTTGCCTATATACCCAAACTCCAGCATAGCCGCAGGCTACAGACAACCAACGCTTGCCGAAGGGGGAAAACAGATCTACACAAAAGCTCAAATACCCTCAATCATACACAGCTAACAAGGCAATGCCCACTGCTATCGATCGCTAAACCCTGACGTTCTTTCATCCCATTGTTTTCTATTGTCACGATCAAAATGGTCGATATTTTCAATTTCGATCGCAAGGTTGAAGGGGGCGATAAATCGTTTTCCATTTTAACTAGTTTTTATACTCCCATAGCTGGTAGGCGTAGACGGGGAAAAAAAGTTGCATAAGCTCAGAAAACATGATTATCTGTTTAATTAGATCACTGTTAATAGCTTTGCAAACTATGAAACCCAGGGGCAGATTCAGAATAGTAATTGGGGTGCTATGGGGGGGGGGGGGGGTAGGGTGTATTATGGGCCTTGGATGACTTGCATTCATTTTCAACGTGTGCCTCGAGAAGTTGTTTCTGCGTCTTCTTCTTCTTTCTTTCTTTTATGGGGGATATGGGCAGGCTTGAGCCCCCCTATTATACAACAACTAGAATCGCCACTTGTGCCCAGGCGCGGATCTACGGGGGGGGGGGGGGTTTAGGGGGTTCAAACCCCCCCCCCCCCTTGGGCGGCCCAAAAAAAAAGGAAAAAAAAAGAAAAAAAGAAAGAAAGAAAAAAAAAGAAAGAAAAAAGAACGCACGCTGGAGAGAAACCCTTTCAAGTGCAAATATTGTGAGAAGATATTCAACTCATCTGGTAACTTAACCAAACACATGATAAAAAGGCTGGATATAACTGTGTATTAAGCTGTTACTTGATTTAAAAAGACGTTATCATGCACTGCTTTTTATGGTCTCCATTGTGTTAATAGATGCCAGGAAAACATCACTTACGGGGTTCAAATAAACACCCCCAAAAAAATCGGCTCGCCGCTACGCGGCTCGTGGACGATGCTCTGCATCGTCATTATTTTGGTCAAACCCCCCCTTAGCAAAAAGCTAGATCCGCCCCTGTGTGCCACCTTGTCTAAGCATGCTTATATATATGTTTACACATTTGAACTGATTTGATAATTCAATACCAATATTCATGTCACACACATACCACGCATATTAGGATAATACATAATACATTATAATTGGACATGGACATGGTTCGGTCAAATGAACGCACAATATCATGATGCTAATTGCAGTTGGATTTATCTTTATACGGGTGATGGAAATCATTTACAGGAATGAAGATGGACGATTAGTTCATCCATATGTAATAAACAAACAGGAAATGAAATATTTTAATGAAGACACAGGGCAACTTCGTTTTCTAAATTACAAGCATGGCTTATTTATCTTACTACTATGACTTTGTGGGGTTTCACGCGGAAACGGTTTCTTTTCACGTATCACGAGAAAAGCAGGTGAAAGCATAATAAGAAAATTAATAAAGCTATAGGCTTTACAGGTCAAGTAGAATTGATTCAAATCTCATTCCGCCATTTCAATGTTCAATGTCATTAATTACTTCTATAAATAAAAATGTTAGTGGGTAAATTTCAAAACAAATTCGGCCTTATAGAGGTTTGTAGTCCTATACAGAGGTACAGAATTAGAGAGGGAGATTACTCGAGACATGGTTATTGGCAGGAGCTTCAGAGACTAGAGGGTGAGCAGTGATTATGAACAAGGGAGAAAGAACTATCACAAAGATTATGAAATTAAAAGTAGGAAGAATACATAATGACGACGATAATAACATGAACTATGAAGAGGAGGAGGAGGAGGGGAGGAAAATGGAGATGGTGATGATGAGGAGGAGGAGGAGGAGGAAAGAAGATTGGTGATGATATTTACAGGGGTGATTATGATGAGGAGGATGACAGTGGTGATTTTGATGATGATGATGATGATACTGATGATGTTTGTGATAATAAATGATGTTGGTGATAATGATGATGATCATGATTATCATGATAATGTTGTTGGATAAGATGATGTAAATAGATTTAAAAAAATAGAAATTAGTTAGCCATTGCATAAAGCTCTATCACTATCAAGTATTGATGGAACAGGCACGTGATATACAAGTCATGTTAAATGTGCAGTTACATTATTAAAGGCTAGAACAAAACATAAAAACGACTCTTTATATACTTCTATGATAATTACAATGTAAAACGCTAAGAAATAGTTTAGAGTACTATACAAATGTAATGAAATATAATAGAATCGTCACAAAACAAAAATAAGCACGATTACATACCTTCAGAACGACGTAATCAAAATATTGTCACCCAAAACCTCTCGATATCATCAGCGTTGTATAATCATGTCATGGCAGGGGAAAATAAGCAGACTTCATCCATCGCATTGAAGTGATTCACTAAGCCGTCATGACATGACATGTGAAATTCAGGAATGGTTCATTGACACTTGTCGAATAGTCAATCTTGTGATGTGATCCATGATTAGTTATTCAGTCAAGATATATCTCTGGTAAAAGTATAAAAATGAAGACGAACATGCGCACTTCAATCGCAACTGCGAGTAGCGTTTCTTTCTCTTCAAAGAAAGGGGAAAATACTAGATGTGTTTTCGCCGAGATGAGGAGCCATCCATTTCAAAGCGGGGGTGTATTCCCGTAAATTGAAATGATGGGAAACTATAAATTTGCTTGCCTGAAGATACTGGTTTAGACCACCTCTCTCTAAAAGAAAAAGAAAGAAATTTTCATTTGAAAGAGCGTGCGACAGTTGGAGGACTATAATCATAATGTGCACACAAGTTTAGAAGAAGTGCATCGAATTTTGATTTGATATACGCTCTATTTAATTATTAGTTGCTTATTGAGCATGAAAGATGCTTCTACTCATAGTTTACTGCCAACCACCCCTTTATTTACTGACTTAGGTGCATATAGGACGGGGTGTCCCATTGCTCCCCTACGAGAAATCATGCTCCACCCCACACAAATATATACATTTTACAAGAGAATATGTAAAGTTCAAAAATACTAATAAAATCACCCCCCCCCCCCCCATAAGTAAAATGGACTGATCATTGTTCTCCAACACACGGTGAAGAGAAAAAGGATGTTCGATAATCGATTTTTGTCGCAGAAGGTCTAGTGCTCGCTAAAACATACTTGATATACTTTTCTCATGAACTCGAGTTATTATCAGTTCTTTGCTCTTTGGAATGGATTTCAATAATCCCTAATAAGCTTTCAAGAGCTATAGATAGCTGAAGGGTGGATATATAAGAGTCAATGCGATGTTGATGAGAGTCTAATTAATGAGAGTCTATAAAAAGATTCGCCTATGAAACGTTTTCCGGTGCTCACGTTCTTATTTCATAAAACTTTAGCACGTGAATATTCTCAACACATCTACTTAGCAGACCATATTTTATTTTATTCACATGGCATATGACTATATTGGTTACTGATATTACAATATTATTATAGGTGAACTGTGGTGGAACAGTGAAAGGTCTCGACTCTCGTAGGATTCTAGGTTCGATTCACGCTCGGTGCTATATTTGACGTGGTGTTTGACCTACATTACTCTGTCCCTGTGGGTGTGTCCCTCATCTCTCTCTCTCTCTCTCTCTCTCTCTCTCTCTCCCTCCCTCCCTCTCTCGCTGTCTCTCTATTTCTCTCTCATCCCCTCTCTCTCTTAGAACTGGTTTAAAATCTTGATTTCTAGAATAACTAAATAAATGACAAAAACATGTATGAATGTTGGCATGAAAAATCACGATTATAGGGCCAATAAGGATTTATAGGTACACGCCAATAATAAGTAACACTTTGCTCATTTCAATTCATTTTTAACATGATTTTTATTTGGTAAAAAGCAGAGATATCTACAACCAGCACATTGATAAAATATCAAAGATATAAAAATGAACAAAGTTTTTTAAAAAGATATTTAGAATGAGTAATAATCTTATTATTTAAACCTACATTTGCATCATTGATATTTCGGAAGAAGATTATTGCATGTGTATAAGTAAAGATTCTTGAATTATTAATTACGTTGTTAATTATACCGGTTTTAGAAATATTTCACCTTCTGTAACTATATAAAGAAAACTGCACAATAATGTTTGTGTCATTGCCTACATTCTTAGAGAATTACCAAGTCTGGGTTTCAAACGAAAGTGTTCAATCATTATAGTAGGCTATACAAAGAATGAAGGGTTACATTATTATAACATGGAAGGCAATGCATGGGCTTGCCTCTGTGAACATTTCAGACAAGATGACTCCCTATAAGGCCTATTAAAACAAAGATGTTGTATTGCCCTTTAGGTGCCTAAACATGGGTGGTTCGGTCGGAAATCTTTATAAAAAAAAATTGCCTTCTTTTTTAATCCGTCTTTGGGTTGATTTTCTCAGTTTTGAATATTTTTATATCTAAAAAACGGTAACAAAAAGAAGAAAAAAAGAAGAAAAAACAAATAAAAAAAAACTTTTTTAAAAAGCCGACCGCAGATTTAATTTTTTGGGGGTCGGTCGCAATACAACATCTTTTTTTAATGCCTAATCCTTGAGCAAATGTGTGATCTGCAGCCCTGCAGATCTGTTTGAGAGTCCTCGCCACGTTCTCTGCTTGGCGATACAGGCACGGCGGAGCACCCCAATTTGCATATCATTAGCGGCCCGTTCTATTTGAATAACCAACGGACATCTGCGTGAATCCGAACATGTGTGTGCTAGAATGTCAAATCTTAAAATTCGCGTTGCGCCTTTATTACTGCCAATATCGCTATGAAACTTTCCATACTAACTAAAATTATTATGAATTTGATGTCATTGAAATAAATACGAAATTCCATGGAATAAAACTCGAGATATTAATGTGTTTTGAGCTTCGCCCCTCGAAAAACACGACGTCTACTTTTTAAGTTTGTGACCCTATCAAGCAATGCACGAAGAAGAGACTTGGTATGAATATTCATTAGGGTTGAATCCATACATGGGCGAAATTTTCGCTTCTCCGCTGTATTTTTTTTGGTTATAACGTTCTTTTTCATGGGGCTTCATTTTTAAAAGTTGTAGTCAGCGAACTCATTGAACATGACGTCAGCGATCTCAGCGATGTACTGCGCATGCGTCTTAGGCCCGGTGCAGGCCAGATCGAAACAGCTGAGCCATTAGCGTGCACGTGTGCAGTCGGCTGGCAAGACATGTATAGCCAACGCACACGCGAGGTTCAGACATGACACACATTTGAATGTATGGGACTGGTCAAACAATTTTGCGACAACGAAGGATTATTTTTGTTCGATGAGATTCGGACATTGGGGTATGTTTTTCTCTGTTGCGACCCTATCAAGCAACTATGAAAAGAGATATTTCACAAGGATTGAGATTATTAAATTTTCTTTCTGTTCATACGAGGCAATTCTTTCTCGCTCTAAAAGAAATGGTGAATTTTACGGTGATTTTGTATCTCATTTTTTTCGTTTTTGTTCGTCAAAACTATCCCTTAAATTTCACATTTTCTGTGCATCAATAACTCTTTTTATACACATGAGTGTCTTGCAAATTTATTCAATACTCGATTTTGTAGCTTTGATTGGTGATATTCATCACATTAATGAAGAATTTGTCTTCGAAATTTGTGTACTTTTTTTCGCATCGATCGGTACACAATTGTTGATTTTATGCAAATGATGTTTACTGGACGGGAGTCGATCGCACGGTAATTGGGGTGCTCCACTGTGCCTGGATAGATCATGTACTGCTTATGCACCCAGGTTGTGGAACAGTCTTCCTCAGTACCTTCGCGCTTCTGACCGGCTAAACCCACTTTCAAAACCCAGCTAAAGGTATAACCTATTCCACATTGCATCCACATCCACAAGACATAACCCCAGTCTTTCCCAGATGAATCTTGGACGGCATATTCAGTAGTTTTTCAGTCTCAGCGGCGCTTTCGATTAGGCAACGAGATATCGGAGCTATACAAGTTCCCGGATGAGATTGGGTTAGATAAGGTAGAGAGGTGGGAGTTCTGGTAAAGGATACTGATCTATTAGACGTCAGTGAACGATACACAGTACAGGCTAAATTTTGGACGTGGAACCTCTCTAAAAAGATAAGTATTAGTGAAGTGTTTGTTCATTGTCTTGCAAAGTTCAATTATCTAACTTGGACTTCGAATGGAAGTAGGTCTAACGCGACATCTAAATTGCACGTACAACATAAATCAAAGGCGATCAATGCAAAACTATGATTAAGGTCCTCGAATTTCCCAAGTCCCAGACAAGCTCGATCGAAGCTATCAAATTTCAAATCTGCCGAGACAAACTAAAGAAAAAAACATAGACAAAACAAAACAAGCAAACAAGCAAGCAAACAAATAAAGAGTTGCCAAGGATTCAACTTTTCCTAAAAGTAGTGAGCATTGCTTTTTGTTTTGTATGTCTTTCTGCCTGAATATCAGGAGCTTTAACACACTTTGGTTCTGCTCATTTTTTTCTTTAAAAAAATAAAATGTTTTTCTACTAAAAACTGTCAAGACCTCATTTAGCCAATTTGAAAAGTAGGCCATGGTGTGACGATTTCGTTTGATTAACAGTAGGTTGTATATTACACAGGATATACCGAGTGTGAAATGCACCTAAAAAGGGGGCATGAAATTCCCAACACGTGAGTTACAGGATGAAATCTACAAGAAATCAACGATATAGTTTCCTTTTGGTAAAATATCTCCTCAATAAGCATTATCAATCGAATATCATCGTGATGTCACAATGAAGAAACGCCTTTGCTATTTTTGTTACACTGAACCGAAGAAACGACAGCTCCAAATGTCATCTTATTCATTTTAAACATTTTACTTGATTTTCTAGATGTGAATACATATTAAAGGAATAGTTGAGTGTTGGTCAATACTCACATTAGCGAACGAAACTATGATCTAAACATAAAAAACATACAATAAATGTCTAAGAATGCATCATTGAAGATATAAATCCGAAATATTACATTAGAGTGAATTTATATGCAAAAAACCTGTTCGACTGCAAATGATTTTATTTATCAAAAATTTTACTTTCGAGGCGTGTTCAGTGTAATTGTATGGCGCCACCTCTCGGTCAAGCGGCAGCACACCGTGAATTTTCGCCAAGACGACGATCGGATATGGGCGTGCAAGTAATATCCGAACCATGTCTATAGCGCGCTGACTGATTTATATTGTACACATTATGGTATGCGAGGCCTGCACATAATTGCATGGTCTGTGGTACTGGTAGCGCTATTGTTTTTGAGCGCGATATGCGAATACTGTATGTGTATGTAGTGCGAGTACGCTCGACCTAGTAGTAGTGTATGTGTATGTATTGTACGTCGTATGACCCAGTTGATTACTTCTACAGTGTAAAGAAAGTGGCTTACTCTATCTATCAACCAATATGTGAGACAACGCAAGGGCAATTTTGTATTTCGTTTGTAGGAACAAAGCTGTGGAATGATCTCCCAGATGAAATTAGATTAAAAACATCGAGGTTATCTGTCCACCTACCTTCTATGTAAATGACGTGGGCCTTCGTTTTTCCTTTTATATTACTTGTCTTCCTTTTATAATATGTGAAGAGTTTCATTCCAAAAGGAGCCAAATCCACTTTGGGTACTTCTGAGTAAATTGCCTTTTTTATTTCTCCACTTTCCCTTTAGCCATGTATACCTTCATGTTGTTATATATGTTAAAGGTGTCACCCTGCATGGACCTGATTATCTGCCAATAATGATAAGAAAAAATCTTCCCTTCGGCTTTTCTGATGTTTACTAAATTTTTTTATTTTTTATTTTCG